CCCGCCGTTCTCGCCGCGCCGCCGCGACACCCCAGTCGCTCCGAGACGCGGGGCGCAGAGGGGCGTGCCGACCCGAGCCGCACGCGGAGCCCCCGCCGCCCCCGGCGCCTGCCGCGCCCGCCGCCCCCACGGGCTGCAGCTCGCGCCCCGCCGCGAGTCCGCGTTGACGTCATCCCGGTGCGGCCGTCGAGCACGCCTTCCGTGAGTCACGAGGACCACGCAAGGATCGCGATGACGCCGGTGTCGTCCGGGTGCAGGAACCTAGCCGATAACGTCGCCCGGGGGTCCAACTGGGCGGGACGGGCGCTCTCGCGGCCGCTCGCCGCCCGCCCTTGTGACTGTCAACGCTGTTAACCGCGGCGACTCTAGTGCAATCGTGTAGTCATATCGTTCAAACACGATCGTGTTAGTAGCGTCAATTGTTATTAAATTATTGGACATGATAGTGCGGTTGGTGAACATGGATACCGTCGTAGTTTGGCCAGAGGTTCGCCGCCCTCGGCATGAAGGCCAAGGCCAAGGCTAGCGCCACACAGGCGGAGCAAGTCCGGACGGCACTGAAGGTGAGTGTCCAAGGCGCCTCCAGCCCGCCCGCCTCCTGCCCCGAGAGCCCGTGCTTACGCCAATGTGCAGGGCAGCAGGGCTCGGGGCAGGGGCTCGGCCAACCGCTCCAACGTGTCGCGCCCAACAACAACGCACGACAAATATCGTTGCCTTGCGTCACCTCGGGGAAAGTACACTCGTCGCCTTACTGTCACCTTACTCACAAAACGACTCTGTGTCAGCACCGGCGAGGGAGAGGAGGTTCCTTGCCCTCCACACCTCCAACCTCTGCGGAGCCTGGACCGCCATATTGTTGTTGTTGTTGTTGTCGGTGCGGTTGTTGGGAGCCAACTTGGGGCGATAACTTACGCTGCGTTTATATCGAGAACTCGCTTCAATTACAACGGCAGTGCAGGTGGAGCCAACGACTTCTCACTATGTTCTGGAGGGGCGGTGCGGGTCGGGAGGAGGAGGAGGAGGGACTCCTCCGGGCGACGGCGCGCGGCAGATGCGTCGAGTCCACAGCTGTGCCCCACAGCACTCCAGACTCCACGACTCCACCCACACCCCGCAGTGCTGCTTGCGCACTGAACCTTGGTCCGCTGAGGGCTGAGGTGTGTGCTTCTACTGGCCTCTGAACCGAAGCCCATACCCAGACCACAAGTATCCCCAACAGAAAGTTTTGCAGAGTCCGTCCGTTTTTCTCAAATTCACCATGTAAAAGACGGGGAGGCTCGGCGCCTGCGGTACTCAGGGTAGGCCACCCCGCAGTACACGCATGCACTGCAGGCGATATGTTGCCTACCAATCGGGCGCCATGAGAGCTTGCAGAGGTTGAACTTGGTTCGCAACGTCGGATCACAGACGTACTTTCTGGATAACCCTTAAGCGCAACACGCCGTGCTTCTGAAGCGATTTCGAATTCAGTGATATCGGCACAGAGTTGACCCTCTGGGTGCCCGAAAACACTGCACGGAGAGGAGGAAGTTCTTGGGCCAATGCTCGGTCCCGGTCCCGATCACGTCACATCAACATTCATGGAACAATGGCCGCAATGTAATGAAGTGTGACACACTTGTTTCGCAGTCACCATCTCCACTGTCTCCACCTCTTAATGCTCAGCCGGACCATTCGGTAATTGTTGAGCAGTTCCCCCACAGTGAGCGTCCAAATCTAAATTTCCTTAAGGAAGTGTTCAACCGAGGAGTTGCACACCTGCAACTGCATAGCCACCGAGTTGATCACTTGCAAGTAGTGTCGAACCACAAGGTATTCAACTTGCAGCTCACACTTCCCTGGTCGGAGTGTCGGTGGGTTGATGTCAGATGGTTGATGTTGGTCTTCTGATAATTGGACACTTGGAAGAGGAACGATATCAGTAGCGAACTATTATGTCAGTAATCTGACATCTGATTCTGATTGCATATGTCTGCGTCTGTGATATCAGTAAGCTGACATCTATTCCATAGGTTAGCCATACCAAGTTAAAAAAGAACTTTATTTCCCTAAGTTTTGAAACAAGAAATAGAGAAGTGGGACATGTTTCCCCGGTGTCCAAACTGAGGCGGAGCCGAATTTGAGGTCCGCTTCCACTTAGCTCCAGCCGTTTACAAGATAGCACGAAAAAATCTCCAAATTGGATGAAATTAAAATGGCCCTACTAAAATGGAGTGAAGATGCTACCCACCAAATTTCAGCTCAATATCTCAAAAACTATGGGTTTTACAGCATGCTGAATTCTGATGGTATGAAGACCGATATCACATGTAGTTACATCAGTTTTAGTGACTTTGGTTGTCAGATGTATGACTTTTTGTGATCGTCCTCTGATTATGATATCAGCAGTACGATGTTGCGTATCAGAAGACTGAGAAATGTCAGTAACATATGTCAGCTTTACGACATCAGAGTCCCTTAACTACGTCAGTAACTGACATTAAAATCAGAAGACTGACAAGAGTTGGTCAAGAAATGTCACATTACTGATATCAGAATTCGTTGCGATATCAGAAACTGCTATTAAAGTCACACTATGCATATCACCGCATATCACTAAAAGTACCAATATCACCACTGTGATTCTGAAGTCACCCTTCCGACTCTCTGACCAGGGTTAATTTAACAGTGTATATTTGTTACGTATTAAGAACAATACTAAACAGAGAAGTTGCACACTTGCAAGTGCGCATAGCCACCACATTGTTCGGCTGCGCATTAGAGGTGGAGACGGCGGAGATGGCGACTGCAGCACAGCGAAAGTTATTTCTCCCACTCGACGAGGTGGGCCTGAGGAAAGTATACATCCCCGCCTTTCGAAATCGACGACGGGTTGCGAGTTTCGCCTCCCCCAAAAAAGTTCCGGTGCAGGGCCGCGCAACCCGACGACGTTAACTTTCTCTCTCTCTCTCTCTCTCTCTCTCTCTTTAAGTTTGGCAGGCTGCTG